AGCCATTGCTGTGGTCACTGCTGCAGTCTCGTGGCTCCACATCTGGCTTGCAGCCCCTTCGTGAGCGCAGGATCCTCTGGACATCCAATTTCCCCCTGACTGTAGGGAGACTGTTCAACTTGGCCAGTGGGTCAGATAAGTCCTACGACACTAAGTATATAGTCTTGCCACCTCACCTTGGAGTCTGAACACTTTAAAACAACCAACCAAACAAACCTTAAACCTAGTATATGGCGTGGAAGACTTCAATGTTCAAAATGCACATCAAGTGAAATACGCAGGGGAACAGCTGTGGCTTTTAAACCAGCAGAGCTGCTTTGATTCTTTGTCATCTTAAGTCCCTTTTTCAAGGGTACATCAGAATTCCATCATGGTCTTTTTTAACAAAACTTTCAATGACATAGACTACTAAAACTTTACTAGCTTGCACTCTCTTAATTTTATTTTTTTTTTAACTACAACAATCTTAATCCCTGTGAACTGTGTTAGCTTGAGGGGCACAGGAGTATATCCTTTGCCTAGTACAGCAGTGTTCATATCCAATAGGAGGCTTTAAACACCTTGAAAGATGACGCAGGTTTGAATTTTATTGTGTTGGGTTTTTTTTCTGGCTATTGAAACTGTAGATCTACAGTTTTGTGGATCTAGCCATGACTTGAGGAATATTTTGGGTCTCTTCTGTGCATGGACCATGTCTTGACCATTCTACTTTGTAGCTTCACACTGTCTTTGTAATTAAGTGCTGCAGCTAGCACGTTTAATTACAGTATCCTTCACATTGTGTCCCCGCTCTGTGAGGCTGTCCTGTTGCCTGTAGTTCTTCTCCCAAACTACATGCGATGTTCCCAGACAGTTTTTTGGTTCAGACAGATGACTCCGGTACCCCTCCCTTGGACAGCATAGCTGCCTCCCTTCTACTGAACTCACAAAAGTTCCTACCTTTGCTGTCCAGCTAAAGACTATTTGTAGAAACAGATGGGAAGGCAAAACAGTATCTCCACTTGTCTCTTGACAGAAGTGAATCTGCTAGTGCACGAAGCTGAAGGTCTTCACTGTGAGTTGAAAGAACTGGAGAAATGGTGTCAGTAAAGGGAAAATGATGGTCAGGTTGATGCAGCTTTCGTTACAAATGCTTTTAGCCAAGTACTGGCTACTGTTAGAAGCACTACGTTAGTACCAAGTCCTGATGTCTGTTATGTTTTGATTAAATTGCTGTGTAACTGGTTAGAGTAGTGTCATTGCAGAACGTGTAATGTGGCCTGGGGTCTTTCATTTGTTTTAGGGAGTCCAAAATGACTGTGTAGACAGCAGTTTGGAAAATGCTGGAAGATAGACTGGAATTAGGGCAGTTGGAGAAAGCTGGGGCAAGAATTTGAGAGGCTAGCTGGGGGCATCGCTGGACCACCTATTAGTGGCTGTCAGCTTTAATCTCTCACAAAATGTATCTTAACATCAGTTTTGCGACACAAATGCAGTTGCAGTATGCTCTTAACATCTCAGTCGCCTGTTTTCTACCTCAAACTCCTTTTTCTTGCCCTCTGCAAACTGCATCTTTGTGGCTTAGCTAGAGTAAGCCATGGGATCAGTGTGGCCATTCTGTGCTACTTAGCCCCTTCTGTTGCCTTATCTCCCTCTTAAATTTTGCTTCTGGAGATTAGGTGTCTATTGCTGGTCAGTTCTCACTCATTGCAGAAGAATTTGTACGAATGAACTCTCCTGCATGTAGCACAAACACACACAGATCTAACCAGCCAGAAAACAATCTTGTCCGGGTTCCTTTGGTGTTCAGTTTGTGAAGGAATTAAAGGCAGTAAAGGAAATTCTTGTAGGTGACTTCATAGAGAATCAGTAATACTTCCTCAGAAATAACAAGGATGTCTTATCAGAAAGCAGGCCTCAACTTAAGAAGCAAGGGCTGATACTTAGAAGAAGCGTTCCTGTCTTGAAAAAGTATAAATAAAGTCCACAAAGGCAACTTGAGTCTCCTAGGGTGGAAATCTTGTTTTCAGTCAGGTTTGAACTGTGTCATTACAGACTTTGGGGCTATTTCAGCTCTGTAGTAACTCTTTGATTAGCCTTATCAAAGAATAAAGGTGTTGCTAGTAGGAAAAGTTGTTGGGTTAGGTAACTTAAAGTCAATAACGAGACTTAAGACAGGAGTTATTCAGCATGATGCTTACATTCCTTCCAAAGCAGCAATTTAGTATTTGTAGGGTGAGAGTATTTCCTGAATTGTGCCACCCTTTAAAAGGGAATGCTATTGGGAGCAAGCTGTTTGAGCTTAAAATCGGTAAGCAGATAACTAGAACGCAGCTGTAAAAAAAGTGTACTGAACTTCTCCTGTCGCCAGAAATTGTTGAACTGACTTAGCAGGAATTCAAGTTGCTTTGAAGCAAGAAGTTTAAACTGCTCAGGTTTAAAGGTACACTTCCTGTGAGACTAGGTGAGATGGCTGGAAGAGTTTGAAATGGGTAAGAAATAGGATTTAACTTGAGCAGAGGCTGGAGTTGCTTTAGTTTACTCAGGTGTGTCTTGCCCGTTCCCAGTCAGAGCCCAGTCCTTTGGTGGTTAGCACTGGAACTTGTTGGACAGCAGCGCGTTCAGTTGTGTGTTAGTGTTGCGAGGTTAACGTTTGTCGGTGCTGATCAAGCTCTGACATCTGTATGCCTCTGGAGTTGCCAGGGTCGGGGGCCTGAACATCAAAAGTAGTGATTGTGTAGGCAAATATTCCTTCTGGGAGTCAGATTTCTTCCTGGTTTTGAGGAGTGGGGATCTAAGTAGTAGTGGACCTTGAAATGGAGGCTTCTGGCCATCAGGCTGATGGTCAGCCGAGGAGGAGCCCTAGCTGGTGTGAGAAGCAGGACAGCTGGATAAAGCCTCCAAAATAGAATTAAGAATTCCTCAGCAGCAGTACGTGGCCAAAGCTCAAATTTATGCTAGCAGAGATGTTTCATAATCCCCAGAGTACCGGACTGAATTAAACCTGAGCTGACAAACTTTGTTACTTTCATGTTCAAAACTTGGCTGGATGGATCAAAAAGCCCAGCACTGCCTGTCAGAGCCTGTAGCCGGGTCTCCAGGAGGGTGACAAATTGCTGTCCGTAGCAAGAACTGCCTGGCAGAATGTTTGTCACTCACCTGGGGCAGAGCAGGCAGGATGGGCTGCTTCCACTGCTGTGAGCTTGTGATGCTGGCGTGGTGTCCGAGAGCGGATCCTTCCCTGTTCTTGTCTGACTGCTCCATGTCAGTGCCTGGGCTTTTTGATTATGTGGTGACCTGGAGACTGCTGTGCAGCTTCAGCTGGGACAGCTAGCCGAGTGTCATCCTGCTGTCCTGACAATCTGGCCTACAAAGTAGCAGTCTCGTCACCTTTTCGGTACTTGAACAAAAATTGGGTGCAGTCTCTACGCTTGCTTCGAGATGGACCTTCCTGTGGTGGGAGAGGACTGGCTTGGGGTCTGCTGAGTCCTTTTGCCCCGTGCAGGGGTTAAGCCTACAGGAATAACTGCTTTGTTAAAAGGCAACCAATCTATTCCTCGCATTCTACTCACATAGTGATGTGCTCTTTGCCTTTATATTAAAGTTAAGATAGCTGGGACCTTCGAGGGGAGAGGTAAGGCTTTCTTTCACTCATCTGTTTTTGACCTAAGCTGCTTAGTGCCCAAGGAAACCCTTTACTCCTAGGCAAATTCGAACTTGGCTCCTCTTCTTTGGAGAGCAGTAACTGCACCAAGCAGCTGTTGAATCGGAACACACCAGTGAAGATGTTTCTTCTGGGTAGCTCATTACCTTGGAAGAACTGATGCTTGCTTTTTAGCTCCCTGCTGTGATTCAGCTGGAGATTCCACTGCTCCTCAGTTGCTTTTCTGTATCCTGAAGTGTCCCATAGAGGAGTGCTTTACTGGCAGGAGTTGTTTGCAGCTCCAGCTAGACTCAGTATCTGCAGTGGCTGGTAACCTGTGTTAAAGGGGCAGCTGGAAGTGACAGATATTAGATCTGTTCAGGCTTTACAAAGGGTATTACTTGAGTTCTGCGTTTGGAAGGTGATTTCTGTGTTAAGAAAGCGGAGATGATAATTGGCTGCTTTGGGCAATCCTTTGGAAGTCTGTGCCTTTCTGATCATGTCTCAGGCTTCTATGTGAAAAGCCCCTAGACCTCTTGATTAACTGGGGTCACTGTCTCAGTACAGCGTGCTGATACCTAAAGAAGCCAGAAGGTGTAGGGTTTGGGTCTTGGGTCATGCCCTAACAAGGCTTAAATAGTTTTTCAGCGATGACCCAGACCATTGAGCTTCTGTAGAAACCAGCTTAGCCCCGCTGACCTGAATGTCGGCACGGTGCGCGCAAAGGCGTGTTAACCACTGGCTTGTGCAGCGCTGCTTCTGGCTCATAAAGACACTTTCAGCTGCAGCTGCATGCTCTGGACGTAGCTGCGTGATGCACTCGGTTATAAAGTCATCCGTGACATCCAGAGAAGCTAATTGCTGTGTATGGATTGCGAGGCACCCTTGACTTCCTCCCCCTGTTGGCGCTCTAGGGGAGATGTCTGTCTTCTGGCTGCGGAGCTTACTCCCTCTGCCTGGAGCTGGAGCCTTGTGGCCTTTAAAAGAGTCTCTTCACCTCTGAGTTCGGGAGCTTTGACCTGCCTCTTAGGTTTGTGTGAGCCAATGGATGTTCCACTAGACAGACGGGGGTTTAAATGGTTTTACGTCTTGCTCGTGCCGGAAGGGTCTGTGGAGAGCTGACTTCGTGAATTGTCCTGACTAATGACTGAGCTGCTCCATGGCACGAAAACCTCAGCCGTGGAGTTGAGGTGTTGAATTTGCATCTGCCCGCACGTTCCGTCTGGGGTGTGGCGGAACCGGGAAGGTGAAATTGCTCACCAGGAGTGGCAGCCGGCTCACAGCACAGAAGCCGGCTGAGAAGATGAGGTGGATCACGCAGTGGTAAACTGTAGCTGAACCTGTTGACGGGTTGTAAATGGCATGATCCTCTGCTTAGAGGAGCTGCCCTGAGCAGGATTGTCCTTGGACTGTGGAGTGTTACATACTCTGTAAAGGGGAGTCTTGCAGTAGAAACTCGGATCAGTTGTGCTGCGTTACCCTGGTAGACCTCATTTTGCCTCAAGAGCACGTTGCTGGAGCATCCTCAAGTGATCGTTCTGCTTGATGAGAGTGCGTTTATATCGCTGCTCTGTGGGGAAGCTGAGCCCATTACTTTTTTAGAAACACTTTGTTAGCAGTCGTTCTGCTTGATTAGTTGGTTCTCCTGGTTCCTTGGTCGTTGTGAAGTGCGTGGTCCGTGCTAGTCCACAGCGGCAGGAGGCCCACTAAAGGAGAAGTTGTTCTTGTTGGCTGCAGTAGATAGATGGGGATCACAGTTGAAGTATTGGGAGTTAAGTAGGCTGCGTGGTTGGTGAAATAAAACCAATTTTTGAATTAAAGGGAGCTTTAAACTGACAGTATTTTAAGTTGCTTAATGTTTTGCTACAGACTGGGCTGCTTTGACAGCAAAGAGATTAGCAATAACTCTGTACTTGAACCCCTTGAATCAATGGGAAGTAAAATTTATTTATTTTGCTATTACTGACAAAAATCCAGACTTAAACTCTGAAGAGTGCACCCTTCTACTACTGTATCTCTTCCAGTGACAGACTGGAAGAGATGCTGTCAAACTGATACCACTAGAGCAGCTTTTCCTGTGGACAAGGTGTAAAACATTGTCACTTGTCTTGTGTCGTTATTCAACCTGATTCTGTGGTTACAAAACTTGACTTTTTGTGAACTATTTTTTTAATTGTCTTTACTAATGTTGTAGTCATTTGGCTAGTGAATGTCAGGGCTTTGCTATGAAATTCATTGCAATAATACTTGATTGTAGAAGGTGATCTGGTGATTCTTCTGCAGTGTTGGTTTAATTAGCTACTCTGCATCAAAGAGCTATACACAACTGACATCTTTAAGGATCACTTCCTTTTTCCTCTTGCACTTGTCTCCTTAGACTTTATGAGAAGGTACCTTTTTCCAGGTGTTTTTTTAGTGGTCTGGAGGCTGCTTGTGTTGGTTGGTCTAAGCCATGTGCGTATATGCAGTGTTCTGGTAGAAAACCTCAAGAGA